GGGGGGGGGGGTGCGGGAGGCAACCAATCAATGTTTCTCTCTTACATTGATGTTTCTCTCTCTCTCTCTCTCCCCCCCTAAAATTAAAAAAAAAAAAAAGATGTTAAAATGGGTCAATAACTCAGATCTGTATAAAGGAAGAGCACTGAAATGGAATAAATCAAAGTAAAATAAAATGTTTTCGTTTTCTTACTTGTCATTGGTTGGTTTGTCTAAAGTAATAATAATGTATTGATTGATTTTAGCATAAGGATAAGTGAAATGAATGACAAATACTTTGTAATAAGGTAACTTCACTATATATAAGTGAAGCAGAAGAGTGTTATTTGAAAGTGGGCTTAGTTAAAAATGTATATTGTAAACTCGAGGGAAATCACTTAAAAAACTTAAAAGAAATATAGTTGATAAGCTAAGGGGGAAATATGGAGTCTTATAAAAGAATTAAAACTAGAAAAGGCAGAGAAAAGAAGTCTCTGGCATCAAATAGAAAACAGTGTAAACATGGTTGATACTAATCCAAATATATAAAGAATCATTTTATTATTTTTAAATGTTTTTATTTATCTCAGAGGAAAGGAGAAGGAAGCATAGAAACATCAATGATGAGAGTCATTGATAGGCTGCCTCCTGCACACCCTCTATCGGGGATCAAGCCCACAACCCAGGCATGTGGCCTAACCAGGAATCAAACCATGACCTCCTGGTTCATAGGTTGACGCTCAGCCACTGAGCCACACCAGCCAGGCTCAAGAATCATTTTAAATGTGTATGATCTAAACAGCCCTACTAAGGACAAAAATTGTCAGAGTAGATTAAAAAATAACTATATATTTTGTACAAGAGACCCACTTTAAATATAAAGACTCTAAGTGGTTAAAAGTAAAGCAGTGGAACACTAGCTGGTTTGGCTCAATGGTTAGAGCATCGGCCTGCAGACTGAAGGGTCCCAGGTTCCATCCCGGCCAAGGGCATGTACCTCGGTTACAGGCTCAATCCCCGGCCCTGGTCAGGGGCATGCAGAAGCAACCAATTAATGCCTTTCTCACATTGATGTTTCTCGCTCTCTCTCTCCCCCTTCCACTCTCTCTGAAAAGCAGTGGAAAAGGTATCCTCGAATGAGGATTTTAAAAAATAAAAAATAAAATACTGTTTATAGCAGCACTCCTAAAATGCAGAATGTGACAAAAGAATATAAGTCTATGACAAATATGAAACGACCTTACTGAGAGGGATGGGGAAATAAGGTGCTGCTGACATACATAAGTTTGGAAATGAGTGGAGTCTGTAAGACTAAAGGCAGATTTTCTCTGTATATAATATTAAGAAAATATAAACGAGCCCTTTCTGACTTGGCTCAGTGGTTAGAGCGTCAGCCCACAGACTGAAGAGTGCTGGGTTCGATTCCTGGTCAAGGGCACATACCTCGGTTGCAGGCTTGATCCCTGGCCCCGGGGCGGGGGACATGTGGGAGGTCACCAATCAATGTGTCTCTCACATCGATGTTTCTGTCTCTCCCCCTCCCTTCTACTCTCTCTAAAAAATAAAATCAATGGAAAAAATATCCTGGGGTGAAGATTAACTATATATATACAAATTATACACCTATACATCTCCTTACTCTGTCAAGTCAGAAGGCCTAGAAGCAATGACATCCCAATAGTAATGAGTATACCTAGCACCCAGATCCCTGGTTTTTAATACAATTCTCCAACCAAAGGTACCAGGGTTCCTTGGAGAAATGGCTGATTCTAAAACTTGGGCAGGAAATATGCAAGACTAGAGTATCTTGTAGTGCCAGAAAGAAAATGTTAAATACACACACACACACACACACATCCAATACATACAAAAGCCAACTGAAAGAGTTCCCAATGGCCAAAGTTGAAACAACTGGTGCAATGAAAACATAAAAAGTAGTATTAGATTATAATCTAAAGTATAAATATTAATGAATATTAACAAGTCCATGGTGATATAAATTACTAAAAGGAAGATAAGTCAAATACCCCACAAAGAATTCCAAATAAATTTTGTAGATACTCTGCTCTCAAGTAGGTGGAACACTCCACTCCTTAAGTGTTAACCATGCACAGTAACTTTCTTCCAAAGAGTATGTACAGTATGGAAAGGTAGATTTAAAAGAGTAAATTTAACATGGAGAATCCTGGCAAAGACTATGTCAGTCAGGTGACCAAAGTTCACATCAACAGTGATAATACTGATAGTATCTACCCTTTATATGATGTGATGAGGAATGGTACTTTACCTCTGTGGTCCTCTTCCTAAAAGCACTTAACCCCTCTGTAATCACAAGAAAAAAATCAAGCAAACCAAAATTGTGGGACATTATACAAAATACCCAACCAGCACCATTCAAGGGTGTCAAGGGCATCAAAAACAGGGAAAATCTGAGAAACTGTCACAGCCAAAAAGAGTCTAAGGAGACATGATGAGTAAATAGGGAATGTGGAGCCCTGGCCAGTGTGGCTCAGTTGGTTGGGCGTTGTCCCATGCACCAAAAGGTTCGATTCTTGGTCAGGGCACATGCCCAGGTTGCAGACTCGATGCCCAGTAGGGGGCGTGCAGAAGGCAGCCAATTGATGTTTCCCTCTCACATCAATGTTTTTCTCTCTCCCTCTTCCTCCCTCCCTCTCTCTCCAAAAATCTATTTAAAAATAGCGGATATAGCCTAGCCAGGCGTGGCTCAGCGGTTGAGCATCGACCTAGGATCCAGGCGATTGGAGTTCGATTCCCAGTCAGGGCACATGCCCGGGTGCGGGGCAATGACTCTCTCATCATTGATGTTTCTATCTTTCTCTCTCCCTCTCCTTTCCTCTCTCTTAAGTCAATAAAGATATATTTTTTAAAAAAATAGGGGATATTGAGTATGGGGTACACAGAACTCTACCATTTTGGCAATAATTCTGTAAAAATCTATAACTGTCCTAAAATAAGTTTATTTTAAAAACAATATAAACCAATAAAAGGCTAACAAAGATGGTGGGGAGGGGGGAGGATCACATGGGCCTGTTGAAATGCTAGGATGGGACTTAACAGGAATTTCCTGGGAGACAATTCCTTCTAAGAAAAAAGAGCAGACAAGAGATTAACAGGTGAGAATAGCATGGCATGTGGTCACTCGGACTTTTCTCCTGGCTCAATCTCCAGTATCTAAATACAGTGGAAATGGCTATATGCAAACACACACACCAACAAAAACTTGGAAAGGAGTGTTTTCTAAGAACTTTATAAAATATTAAGGTCCAAGTGACAATTGGGTACTACCCACCTGATTTAGGGTTAACTCTACTGTAGGCAGAGAATTCTCCACCCTTCTGTTGAGATACTGTGCTGTGTTAGTCCATCATGATCTCCAGCCCCCCAGAAATAGGGGCCTTAGAAGGGTACAGGACCCATGAGATGAGGCACAGTGCCTGAGAAATGGCAAAACCCAGGAGAGAGTGGCACCCACCTCTCAGCTATCTGGACTTATTCCTGGACACAAGTGGAACCTCCCTCAGTCGTCTCCCAAACATCAAAAATAAGGAAAATTCAGGGGTTCTGGTTCTGCTAGTGCAGCACAGAGGGTAGTAGCTGACCCAACACAGCTCAGTCTCAGTATCCCATCTGATCTTCTCCACAGTCTTGGAAGGCAAGTTTTATCCCCAATTCACAGATGACAAGACTGTAACTACAAGGTTGATTCCCCCACAACTTTGAGTCCCAGAAATAATGTTTTACTCATCATTTCACATCCTGACAAGAATTTTTAAGTGTCTCCATGGCCTTCATAAGCTCACTGAACCATTCTTTTGATTGCTTAGTATTGTTTTCCTATTTTTTATCTTTCATTATTTTTATGATGAAAGTAATATGCACACAAAAAATTACCCACAGATAACCACTGTTAGACACGGCTTTCAGAGTTTGTTTGTTTTTTCTGTACATAGATCACTAGGTAAATCTCTTTGCAGTTTTACAAAAATGGACTGATGCCATATATATGGTTCAGGAAACTGTTTTCTTTTTAATTTTACAATGCATCATAAACATTATTCCATGCAATGGACGAAAATTTGCTACTGAAACATAGAGGGCTGCAGTTGGATAACGAGAGTGACAACTAAAACAAAGTATTAGCATAAGGTTAAAGCCCTGGGCCTGGCAAATGTCTACCAGGGGCACTACACAAAAGGGATGTCTTCAAAGCCCCTTTGTGGGGCCCTACAGCCACCCCTGAGTTCCCTAGGGCCCCTTGGGTGGAAGGGGTCCTGTAAACTTTTTTGCATCCACATAAACCCCCCCAATTTCTGTCTGGTTTTCTTCACCTCATCCTCTACCCTAGCCATCTCGTCGAATTCTCTGATCATCTCCTCATTGCTCAAATGCATATCGTGTATGGCCTCCTTGTATTCCTTGAGGCACTGAGCCAGCCCCTTGTTGGTTTTTCTTTTGGCTTTCCTGGGTACATCATCCCCAGCTGGGCGCTTCCCTGCAGCCCTGGGTTCGATGGCTGGTTTTCCTTCTTCTTTTGGCTTTCCCTCACTCTCTGGTTTTCCTTCTTCTTTTGGTTTTCCCTGGCTCTCTGGCTTTCCCTCACCCACTGGCTTTCTTTCTTTTGGCTTTCCCTCACTGTCTAGTTTTCCCTGACTCTCTGACTTTCCGTCTATCACTGGCTTTCCTTCCTTCTCTGGGTTTTCCTTATCCTCCAGTATTTCCTCATCTTCTGTCTTTCCCTCATTTTCTAACTTTTCCTTGTCTTCCAAAGTATGAGCTACTTCTGGCTTTGCAGCATTCTGAGGCTGTTTGTTTTCCATCTTTCCTTGATTCTCAGGCATTCCTTCATTTACACTGCAGAGTTTTTCCATGTTGAGATGTCCCCTCCTTTTCCTGTCCTGGGGGTGGGGTGGGGGAAAGAGGAGACACAGAGGAGACAATGGAGACTGAGGACTTCAGCGGGGACGCAGGTCTGCAGAGTACTGGCATCTTGCCCTTGTCAGGGGTTCCCCTGACCTGGCCCAGCCCTCCTTCGGCCACCTTTTCCCCACCATTCCTCCCACAAACGTGAGCCAACCATTTTTTTCTGGCAGGCCCTGCCATTTTCTCTACATTTGATCCGTGTAATGGAGTGTGTGTAAATGTGTTGGGAGGTGGGCAATGGGGCCCCAGATTCTGCCTGGGACGTGCCGCCCACACTCCCCACCCCTTTGGGTTCCTGTTCAGCGACATTCCTCCTTTAACTGACCTGCGGGAATTCTGGATAGGTTCCTCCTTTTCTAGCCTAGCCGAGTGCTGAGAACAACAGACACGGAAACCTGCAGACAGACAGGAGACAGGAGCTGGGCGTTGGGTGGGTGCACAGGGACTCCAGTCCCTTTCCCTGATTCCTGGCCCTACTCACCCAACGTTTTCCTCCCCCCACGTCCTCCGCCCCCCGCCCCCCAGACGCCATTTCTTGTCATTTCTTTTCATGCCTCGGGCGTCAGATCAGGATGTTTTCCACCCTAATTTTGGATCTCTGCGTCCTTCTCCCCCGGAGGCAACTCGCCTTCCCACCCTCGAGGTCAACTTTTTTCTCTACGCACCGAGTAGGCTAGGGGGTTAATCTCCACTGTCTCACTGTTGGGGTGCCCCCCAGTTTACCATCTCCGGCTCCAAAATGGACGGAGGGCAGCAAGAAGGAGGTGCAGAGAAAGAGGGCACGGGTACCTGGGGGTGTCCGCCTTCCCCACCCTCGGCCCATCGGCCGCTCGCTCCCTCTCAGTCG